AATAGGCATTTAGGTCTAAACAGAGGATACGAGTCAATGCTGGGAGTACTTTCAGAAACAGCTAAATTGTCAGGTGTGCCGTCAGGAGTAATGTCAGAATTAACACCCATCATGGAACAACCGTAATTGTATCCAGACTTATGATAAAACATTTTTAAATGTAAATTCCGGTAAAATCGGAATAAATCCACTCTAATACTGAACAGACTAGAAGTATGAGTGGGTGCAAAAGACATTCCCTTAGACAGTACACATAGTTGCTCGTTGGAAAGAGGCGTATCAGAAAGGTTAATTACCGAGGATATTTCTTCCTTGGTAACGATCTCAGTGTTGATGAACGAGGACGTTCCTCTACCTCGGCAGCCCCGGCGTGTTTTCTTGGACCGTGATGATTGGTCTGGAGTCGCGGCCAATCGTCCTCCAAAAAATGATCAGAAAACGTGGTCGGTTCCACCGATACACCTGTCCTCTATTCCTCTACGTCGCGTTTGAACTTCCGCACCTTCATCTCCTTGATGGTTGTCTTGAGTTTGAGTATTTCCTCTCGGATCGTTTGTTGAATAGGGACCTGTTGTTCCAGAGGGGTGGGTAGGGAAGACTCAATGTCTCTGATACGGGATTGGATTTGTTCCCTCTCTTTCTTGCCCTCTTGTATGAGCAGTAGCATCAAGTCCATTGAGCATTTATTTAAAATAGACTCCCATTTCAATTTAAAGTCAGTATCCTCACTGTGAGTAGAGGGAAATTTAGACAGGCGTAGCCCGCGAGGGATGCGTCCTTCTCGCCAATAATCAGTAAGTGACACCACATGCCATTTGAGCTTCATATCTTTCTCTAGAAGTTTACGCAGTTCAGGTTTCTTTGTTGAACAGTCAGTATACACGACATTCTCAACATGCGTGAGTAAAGAGTCTGTAACAATAATATTTCGTCCTTCATCCGTAGAAAAAGAGTGTGTCTCCATGGTAAATCACTCACTAAACGCTGAAGCCTAGCGGAGCAAGGCCTAAGTTGAAACCAAAAACAATGAACTGTAAAAGATTCAACCAGGCGCTCAGGTAAAGTTATGAAGTCCGTGATAGGTGCTCTTGGGGTAGGAAAAAGATCCAAAGAAACGAAAAGCAGGTCCCAGGCACTCAGTCAAGTTTTAAATGAGGAGAAGGATAAAGTTAAAAAGCCTTTATTAAATATGGCTTAAATCATTTTAAAAGTACAGGAGTCAACATGTTTCGACCATGTTGTCTTCTTCAGGGCAAAGTAACACAAAATATGAGAATGACGCCAAATTATAAATTAAGTCCCACATATAATCAGAAGGAATTCAATTAACCTAATAAGGCCTAATACAATCAATTAACCCAATAAGGCAATCAGGTCTAACAAGATAGGGGAAACCAACATAACGAGTACTAAAGCAGGTGAAACTAACAAAGAAACAATAAAGAAAAATATCTCCACAGAAATCTCGCTCAACGGAGGTTATCTGGATAACGGAGCGCATCTCTTTTCTTACTCTCATTTTTCTCTCCAGATAACCTACGTTGAGGGACATTTCTTTGGAGATATTTTTCGGCCTGGTTCTAATGGCCGAATTTCGCCATTTAATTCGCTCCTGAGAAACGCGATAGAGTTGATAATGAGCAGCTTAACAGTGATAGACGTCGTAGCCTATTCCTGGTAGACGTGGATCAGCTGAAAAAAAAACTCAAAACGTGACAACACTATGCATTTAAAAAATAAAAAGTTATTTTCCATTTTAACTAAGGATGCACGATATATCAGCCACCATATCGGTATCAGCCGATTGGCTATGTGTTCATTTTTAATGTTATCGTTATCGGCAGATAAGAACATTTGGCTGATGATAGGCTATATTAAAGGTGATAAATTGTATTATTTCCTTCAGCTGAGACACTTAAGATGCTGTTCAACATGATGTTTTTGAATTGCTTGAAATATGATTGAAATCACTTAAAAAAAGAAAAATGTGCAGCAGAAGTCTGTCATATCAGCTACATAAAACTATAATAAGAACATCATTATAATTGTGGGTTTGGTACATGGCTTTTAATGGTGAGACTTCTATTTTTGTAATCAGGCTCTCAAAAATTATATAAAATGTGTAGGCTATTTAGATTAATTTATTACTAATATACCGGTTATCGGCTTTCAAATATAAAGGATTATCGTATCGGCTAAAATGTTCATATCGGCGAATCCATATAATTTAACCTAATAATTTTATTCTTATAACTAATTAGTAATTAATTGTATTCACACTGACAAGGACATCTTATAGCCTGAAGTGTAACATGCAAAGGCGCATTACCGCCACCAACTGTAAGGAGTGTGGATCCGAATTTAATAATTTATTTATTTGAACTAAACTATTGTTGTGAACTAAACTCTATTAGCTTGCTCTACTTTATAAATGACTGATGAGTTATTCTGGCCATGATGTTTTGAGACCAACTTGGGATCAAAACTGTAAACATAAAATTACAATGTTATTTTCATGCATTTTAGTTTGTTCTTGTTAGCAAAAATTTGGCGGACACACGTCGAGTGTTTTGCTCGTACTAAAGGTGAATGTTAGTGACTTTCTTCATCACATCTTTTCTTTCCACATAATGAATGAAAGGCTGTGATTCTTGCCTGACATCTATGCATGGAAGAAAATCATATCAGTTTAAAAACAACATGAGGATGAGCAAATGATGACTGTATTTTAATATTTGTGGATGAATTATCCCTTTATCAAACTGTTAAAATAAATGAAAACCTAAAAAGTAGATGCAAATGTAAGTACAATAATGGCACACTAGATGGCGACATCGAATACAGATTTAGACTCAACCTTCCTATCTCAAATGCACAATTTAATTTATCAAAGCATTTCTCAGAGAGAGAGAAAAAAAAGATTATACGTTTGTTACATGGTCCACATGGATTCTGTTTTATTAAACCCTCATTTCCCACTGGTTGCATAATGACCAGAATCACACACACACACAGACGACACACTTACAAACACACACTCACTCTCTCACACACACACACACACGCGCGCGCGCGCCTAAACTCACTCTCACTCTCTCTCTCTCTCTCTCTCTCTCTCTCTCTCTCTCTCTCTCTCTCTCTCTCTCTCTCTCTCTCTCTCTCTCTCTCTCTCTCTCTCTCTCTCTCTCTCTCTCTCTCTCTCTCTCTCTCTCTCTCTCTCTCTCTCTCTCTCTCTCTCTCTCTCACACACACACACACACACACACACACACACACACACACACACACACACACACACTGTCTGTAATGTTTTTAGAGCTGTTTTATGAATTTATATATTTATTTCCAATATTATTTGCAATTGAATTTGTGTTTAATGAAATAGAGATCAATTTAAACACACTTTCAGTGGGCCTACAGCTATAAAGGTCACGCAAAAATTATATTCAAAGTCACAATAGACGCTTTAATATTAAAATCATCACAAACAGTAGTCTACCTGATATTATTATCGTGATACTGTAAAGTTGTTCCAGCATATGGAACAATATGGCAAGATTAGATTTAGGCTATATATCAAGTTTGAGAGTTTTGAGACACAGAGTTATAAAGTTCTTAATATGTTACTAGTTACAAAATTATCTGGTCTCCCTTGTGAAGAAAAAAAACATATAATGAGGTGTAAGTGAAATAAATGATAAACTCTTTAAAGAAATTTTAATCATGGTCTCTATTTGCAACCGATAAAGCAAAATGCATTAAGTAAGCTGTCAGATTTAACTAATGAACTATTCTTTTTTTAACCTTTACATTTCACGCACGTTTTAGACGTTTCAGTGCACTGTAAAAAAAAATATTTTTTGGTGAAGTAAATACTACTGAAAAAAAAACATTCTAATTTACATGAAAAAGTTAGTTCAGGCAAGAATATAAAAAAAACTAAGTAAATTCCATATCAGTACTTAATTCAAGCGAGTAGAAATGAAAGCGTAAATATCAACTTAATAAAATTAAGTAAAAATTACTCAACTTTTCTGATACTGGGGTTCCCATCATGCACTGGACCTTGAATAATTAATGAGGTTCATTTTTCACTGGTTTCCAGCTGTATTTACACTGTTTTATCATTGCTTTTGTTGTCAGGATTAAACTTGCCATTTTGTGACATTTGAGTAAATTTTCTGCTAAAAATGACACATTCAAACACAAAAACGATCCATCAAATGTTACCGCCATTGTGTATTGTCTACCAAGTATTGAGGTCTTTGCATTCACATCATGCTTAACATCTGACATGATGAAGTATAAATCCCTTAGATACTCTAAGTAAAGCACAAACTATAAATGACTGCTATAATTCAATAAAATTGTTTGAGTGAAATATAATGCAAAGGAAATTTCAACTAAATCGATATTAATCAACCTTTTACTAGCCAAGTTAAAATTACTTATTTTCTTTGTTACTTTCACTTAACTAGGTTAAGTAAAATTTACTTAATTCCATATTCCAAGTAAATTTAACTTAAAGATTTCTAATTAAAGCTACTGATAAATATGTTTAGGTTTTTACTTGGCAAATCTTTATAAATTTACAAGCATTTTCTGAGTGCAAAAAGTTGCCTAGCTTTTTTCAAGTAAATCCTACTCCAAATTTTTTTCATTTCTGTTGTTGGGATAGAACAATACAACAAAGGGAAATAAAATAAAATAATTTATTTTATTTTATGTATCTATTCATAGGCTAGGCTACATTAAATGATTCACCACATTTTAAGCATTGACGTAACTTTATGTCTAGTCTGAATTAAGCTATTGCTTTCGATCTTTTCCTCAACGAGTTGTCTAATAGAGAGTGAGGGTAAAAAACAAAAGAATATGTCATATTTCATCAAAACAAAGTTGTGTTGTTTTGATCGCGCGCGTGCACCTGTTTGCTGAGGAATGTCGCGACACACTTGGCCCCGCCCACTTACACTTGTCCTCCCATTCTGATTGGTCGATTCAGCTGTCCGTCTAGCTCTATCTGCACCTGACTCTCTCTTCTCTTCTTTACTCGAGAATGTGGCGCAAAGAACAGCCTTTAAACATCAGCTATTCATTCCACACTCAACATCTCCCGCGTAAAGCTCGTGCTCGTGGCCAGAAGGCAAACCTAGTTTCCTTTTAAAGACCCAAAATACGATGCCAAGATCTTTCCTGGTGAAGAAACACCTCACGAACAAGAAGCCTGACTATGGAGTGCTGGACTCAAAGAAACACGGTAACTTCTTTCAGACTCGGACTAAAACACTATATGTCAGGCTTGTTCAAGATGTGTGTGCAATACCTAATATAACTGTTTGTTTGTTTCATAGTTGAGTTATTAATATTATTTTATACATTACAATTTTTAACAAATATTTTTTCGCAGAAATAACATTGGATAATATAATTCACTTTTTTTGGGTTAATTTGAAAGGTATGTGCCTATGAATGGGGAGAAAATATTCGTTTTTAATAATTATGACTTAATACAATTCTGAATGAACAAATTAGTACAAATCTTATAGTTGAACGTGGACAATATCACAGATGTTATAATCTTAATTGTGACTAGTGCAAAAAAATATCTATAAATGAATATTTACTTATAGTAGGCTAGTCTTTCAGTTAATATGATATAATTCAAAATGCATGCATGGTAATAATTATACAAGATTTAAGATATATACAGCATGTCACTGTTTAAAATGTGTCGGCTAGATTCAGACATGCTTGTATGATCAGCTTTAGATGTTTTATACTCATGATGAGGAGATAATGAGAGAAGGATGGAGATATGAGTTTAGCAGGTGCAGAATCTCTGACAAAAGAGGGGCTCGTTGTGAACTCTCAACACAGAGTAGAAGAGCTGAAGAGGGATCAACTATTGTTCAACAGTATCTTAGAGAGAGATTAGACATAAGAAAAAGAGGAATAGACCTTATAGTAACTAAAGAGAGAGTTATTTTTACTATTTTGTGACTAAAGTCTGTATTGGCTTTATTGGCTGCTTGGGAAACCCATCGGCTCAACTAACTATAACTTGCATTTTGTTTTAACAAAGCCTTAGCCAGTAATTTTTTTAAGCAATAAGGTACGAGAGGCTGTGCTGTATCGTGAATAAGTAGGCCTAACGGCTGGAGGGCGTTGTTAGGCACGACGCGAAGCGGAGTAACCCCTTCAGCCGTGATTTATTCACCATACAGCACTTGCCTCGAGTACCTTATTGCTTTTATAAAACGGTTACCACACAATAAAAATATTAAAGTAAAACAAATATGTATTAGTGCAACTTTCATGAAGTAAAATCACTAAAAGCCTTCCTTCCGCTAGAAAAAAAAATAGTCCCTGACCGTGAACAGCAACAACGTTCCAATGTGTAATATCAAAGTCCTTTTAGGCAAGTCATGCCACTCGGCCGCCATCTTGGTAACGCCTCCGGGCAGCTATTTCCGACTAACAAGACCAGGCTCCAATCTAAATGAATGGGCAGAGAGTCAGAACTGCACTTTCACTGGTCATCGGGACATAAAAACTGCATGTATAGAAACAGCAGTAAATTATCATAAAAATCGCTGAAAAAGTTTGATGACTTTGCCCCAAAAGAAGGTCTAAAACGCCTTTTTCCCCACAGGTTCTCCTTTTACTGCGCATGCGCAAGGGTTCACGACACCATCTTCATTTACGTCTCTATCCAGAATGCCGGTGTCGTGCTCTACAGCACATACTTAGAATGTAAGGTAACATATTTGTGGTCGATATAAAATGCTTTAACTACTGTAACAAGGTTCAGATGTTATGGGAAGAAGGAGGCAGGAACCGGCGAACATTCAACCATTTTAATAAATAAACAAATACAAAAATGGAAGTATGCCAGCAGCCCCGGACGAGCTGCTGGCCACACAAAACAGAAACAAAACACAACATAAAATCAGGCCTGTTCCTCTCTCGATCTCCATGTCGTCGCTCCTCCTTTTATGCCTCCGCTCCTCCGTGAGAGATACGAGACCGATGCGTCGCGCAGGTGCCGCTCATCAGTAATCACCCCACCGGCCTCGCGCCGCTCTCTCACGTCCCTTGTCCTCGGCCTGCTCGCCACAACTACCTTGGTAGACCGGTGTCTTCGCGTTGTTATCACCCTCTTCCATGTGGATTCCAACACCATGGCACAAAACAACTCGCTGTCGCCAAATCGTCTCCGCTGTCGCAAACCTCAACTGTGCGCATGCGTCAGTGGAACCAGACGATAGGCTTTCCAGCGGGAGGGGCGGGACAAATGCATACAACCGCCATCTTTGACGTTACGGGTTTTCCCTATATAGTTGTATTGAGGATTGAGTCAGTGGCATGTCTCTATATAAATAGTCTCTGGTTATATGCAGGAAAGCTCAAATAAAAACAACATAGGAACTGCAGTGTTGCGCAGTGATAAATAGAACCATTGGGTGAAGCGGTCATAGCCGTGTTTTATCGTGAATAAAGCACAGCTATTGACCAATCAGAATCAAGGATTCAAACTAACCGTTTTATAAGTAAGCAATAAGGTACGAGAGGCTGTGCTGTATCGTGAATAAGTCACGGCTAAAGGGCGTTTCGCGTCGTGCTGCAACCCCTTTAGCCGTTACTTATTCACGATACAGCACTTGCCTCGAGTGCCTTATTGCTTTTATAAAACGGTTACCACACAATAAAAATATTAAAGTAAAAAAAAAAATGTATTAGTGCAACTTTCATGAAGTAAAATCACTAAAAGCCTTCCTTCCGCTAGAAAAAAATAGTCCCTGACCGTGAACAGCAACAACGTTCCAATGTGTAATATGCAGGAAAGCTCAAATAAAAACAACATAGGAACCGCAGTGTGCGCAGTGATAAATAGAACCGTTGGGTGAAGCCGTCATAGACGTGTTTTATCGCGAATAAAGCACAGCTATTGACCAATCAGAATCAAGAATTGGAACTAACCGTTTTATAAGTTTTCATATACAAGTTAAATTTATTGTGTTAAATGATAAATATCCAGCTTATTTTGCAATGCGAAGCTGTTTCATGTGAACATGCAGGACTTCTGATTCATTACAGGAAATATTGAGAAGAATGACAAAATGGAGTAAATGTAAAACTATTTGTGCAACAAACCACACTCTAAAACATGGTTTGGGTAAAATATGTACAAACCCAACCATTAGTTTAAATGTAAAAAAAAAAAATAATAATAATTTTGTCAATATTTGATTGTTGAAAAACAACCCAGCAATTTTTAGAGAATAATAATTGCACTTTTAAACATTTTATGACTGTAAACTATTCTATGGCAGTAAAGTACAATACCTGGAGCATCTTGCACATTACAAAGATCCTTATTACCGCTCATAGAAGAGACTTTCCCAATGCCAAGATCCATGGACACATTTTCACAGGCAGTTGGTGAACATGTTTGAGTCAAATATCTCAACTTTTGATGTAATTTTTTTATTTAAAATCCCCCTGTGTTGAAAATCCAGCTTTTAATGTTGTTTATGTGTCTATGTGGTGTTTTTAATATGCTTTAAGACACACCATGTGTAAGTTCATAAGTCGACAGCATTGCTGAGTATTTTCTCCTTAAAACTGCAGTGAACCAAAGACAGTCTCAAAAACACGGTTTGAAATCGCTGGTGTTTCTGACGTCACAAACGACCTTGTAACCAATCAGATCAACGTGTGATCGTCAACCAGTGGATCTCTGAGCTGAGTGAGTGAGTGGAGGCGGGGCTCATTTGCATATTCATAGAACCGCGAATACTAAATGAGGCAAGGGTGTCGAGTTACATTCAAGATATTTTAAGGCATGAAGAATTTTTAAAGGAAAAAACATTTAAATATGTAATTTTGGTGATTAAAGATGAGTTTTAAGGGATACAATTATTGATTACAGGGGGATTTTAAGTTTTAAACCCAATGGTTGGGTTTGTCCATATTTGACCCAAACATGTTTTGAAACAACCCAGCATTTTTTAGAGTGCAGTGAGTTCATGATTAAGATAAATAAAAAGCGGATGACAACAGAAGCCTCGCACATTCAAGTTACACTCACTCTTATGTTAAAACTAAGATGGATAATGGGAAATCAATCATGTTTAAAGGCACATTTTATTATTTCAGGCTTCAGGGTTCATTAGTTAACATTAGTTAACTACCTTCATTAACATGAACTAAAAATGAACAATAATTCTTCAGCGTTTATTAATCTTAGCTAATATTAATTTCAACATTTACTAATACATCATTAAAATCAAAGGTTGTATTTGTTAACATTAGTTAATGCACTGTGAACGTACATGAACAAACAATGAACAGCTGGATTATTATTAACTAACATTAAAGGTGCAAAACGCAGGTTTCTGAGTTTCTGCAGAACTACGCCCCCTCTGGCGACAAGTGAAATTGCAACCAGAGTTGTGCACGCTCATAGACCACACGCACACGCACGCATGCACGAGCTGTTCATAACTAAAGGAGCATCTGCTGTACAGATCTTTGGTGTACAGTACAGCCAAAATGTCTTTAGAGGTAATAAAGTTATAAATCTGCAAGTCATTTCAAATATATGGAAGGAAAGACATTTGAGTAAATTACTCTTATGTGTGAGGGGAAAACGGGGGTAGTAGAAAACTTTGTTTATGTGTTTACTGTATCTGTATCCACCTATGATTGTATTTTTATGAAAACACGTTCATGAACAATATAATTGATTACTTCGCAATAGTTCAAAATAATAATCATACCGTACACGGTTGGTCAACAACGTTCATTCAAATGTCTCAAGGTAATAAACAATCAAATGTCACCATGACGTTTTCATAAAAGCCAAAACAGGCTAAGCTGCCGAAGACTTGCGGGGTTCAGCCTGTGGTATTGATCTGAGAATATTCCAATAACAATACATCCTTTTTCTTGTTAAAATTTACTCAAAATTTGTGTCTAATTATCGGTCATATTTTTCAGCATGTTATCAGACTCAAGAATCTTGAACTGTTTTGCTAATCACTAAACTACATGTAGCGCTGATTTATTTAGTAGATATTTTGACAGGGACAATACACACTGACAAACATTAATGTGAAATGTGTCAATACTTGTATTGACACATTAACATGTATTTTATCACAATACCAAAATATTTTACGTTTTCCTCGTTTTGATAGAATACGAGCTCTGACCAATTTGATGTTACTGTGGAGAGAAGCACTGAGGATAGCAGTGACAGCAGTGAAAGGATTTACAATTTACTATTTTTACCGAAAAAGACAATATAGCCAATGCAACGGCGTTCTTCCTTGTTGGTCCGAACACAATTCCTAGTTTATGAAACTGTTCACTGACAATGGTATAAAATCAATACTGATTGTATATGTATCTAGCTTACGCTAAAGCATTACACATTTTACGCATCGTCATTTGTTGTCATACATAGATTGGCCGTATCAAACATTAGAGACTGGGCTATATCTTACCGTTTTATCAAGAAAAGAGCCAACTGAGGATCCCGTTTGAGACCAAGAGCAGACCGGAGATCTCTCCATTTGTTGAATACCTTCCCGAGGTTGACTCTCGTACTCCGACGCCTGTCTGACTCCAATTTGGCCCTTTTGGTGGCACTAGACAAATTTTTTCCTTTTTTTCCTTTACGTGGAGTTTGCATTGGGGTTTGGAATGGACTACAAGCCGGTCTCTTTGAATCTATCTTCCACCTTTGACGCTCGAGTTGTCTTCGCTGATGCTGAGAATGGCGGCTCCGGCGAATACACAAACTTGCGAGACAGCCTGGTGAGCGTGAACGCGCATGAAGTCACGCCCAGTCTCAAATTCGAGCCCGAATCCCTCTTATATATTTTACTGTACAGGATTATAGAGGCAATCTCAGTGTGCAGAGAAGGGCTCATTCAGCCCATCAGGCAGTTCTTTAAGCATGTATAGGAAGAAAAACAGGTATTTTTAACATGAAAAGTTGCGCAATGCACCTTTAACAAAGATGAATAAATAAACAAATGTATCGCTCAATGTTAGGTCATGTTTGTACATTAACTAATGAACCTTAGTGTAAAGTGTTACCAATAATCTTTGGGAATCATTGCTAGAGATTTATTTAAATGTTGACCAATGAATTCAGGTTATGTTATAAGACCGATCTGATCATGTGCATTACATATCTCCACAGATGTGATTCATTTTGAATCTTCAAGCTCCAAACTCAAAGCACTGAATCCTCACGAGACTCTGTGTCTTTCGGGATTGAGCTCACCTTTACGGATGAACCCGATCGGATCAGGGATGTACGTTCCTCCACAGAACCCGGTTCTGGGTCTCTCTTTCCCTTTCCATGTGACGTCCAGTCCTCTCTCAGATCCACAGTCGTTCCCGCTTTCCCACCGAGTGCTTCCAGATAGCAGCGACGGATGCTTCGACTGCCGGAGAGCGTTCCTGAGCTTCTCGAGTCTGACGGACCCGAGGCAATGCCAGAAGTTCTTCATCTGCAAGTTCTGCGAGAAGGAGTATGTGAGTCTGGGAGCGCTGAAGATGCACATCCGCACACACACTCTCCCGTGTGTGTGTAAGCTGTGCGGGAAGGCCTTCTCCAGGCCCTGGCTGCTTCAGGGACACATCCGCACACACACAGGTACAGATTCGGGGAGGAAAAGTTGTCACTCAAAAAATGTGTCATTTTCTGAACATACACTCTTAATAATAAAGGGATTTTCACAGTGATTTTTATTTGAAAAAAACTGAGAACTACCAAAAAAACTGTAAAAAATTTTTTTTACATTTACGGAAAAAAAACTGGCAGCTGATGTGGTTGCCAGAAATTTATGGTAAAAAAATACGGTAGCAACATTTTATTTAGGATTTACAGACTTAACTTAAATTTGCAGTATAAAAATATAATTTATCGATATATTGATGTACTAATATCTGTTTTATACCATTGTAATACACTGACACATCCGCACACACACACAGGTACGAGCAGACTCGGAGGAGGAAAAGTTCTCTCAACATACACTCTTAAAAATAAAGGTTCTGAAAGGGGATTTTCACAGTGATGCTATAGAACATTTTTATTTGAGAAAAGCAGAAAATGAAAAAAACTGTAAAAAAATTCATTACATTTACGGTAAAAAAAAATGGCAGCTGTGGTTGCCAGAAATTTACGGTAACAAAATACGGAAGGAACATTTTATTTAGGTTTTACAGACTTAACTTCAATATATAGGCAAAAAAATGTGTTACTGTAAATTTAAGTACTAATATTTGTTTTATACCATTGTAATACACTGACATATCCGCACACACACAGGTACGAGCAGACTCAGGGGAGGAAAAGTTTTCTCAACATACACTCTTAAAAATAAAGGTTCTGAAAGGGGATTTTCACAGTGATGCTATAGAAGATTTTTATTTGAGAAAAGCAGAAAATGAAAAAAACTATAAAAAAAAAAAGTTACATTTACGGTAAAAAAAACTGGCAGCTGTGGTTGCCAGAAATTTACGGTAACAAAATACTGAAGGAACATTTTATTTAGGTTTTACAGACTTAACTTCAATATATAGGCAAAAAATAAATTTACTGTAAATTTAAGTACTAATATTTGTTTTATACCATTGTTATACACTGACAACCTTCAATCATGAAAGTCACATGATGAATCAAAGCGCATCATAAGCAGCTTTCCCACACACTGAGAAAGTTAATACTAATTTAAAGAAGCTGCACAGTCACTCACACAAACACTAAACACCATCATGGTAACACGTGAAATTTAAAAATTGCAATAAGCATTAATTTAACAACATTAAATGTAACATGAAAGCCTAATGTACATAACTGAAAACTAAGAATAACTATGAAGAAACAGTTATTTCAACAAAAATACATCAAATGTGAAGTGTCTCGCATGGAATTTTGCGAATGTCAATTTACGTTTTTTCACTTTACATTTTTTTAACTTTCTGTTAAACAATTAACAGTTTTTTACCGTTAAAATCACATATGTATATGTATGACCATAAATGACAGAGTATTTTTAGGTCTATTTAGCTACTGTGTGAAAAAAATCCAGCAAAACGTGCCGGCGTGTTTGTCGACCACAGAGGGTTAAAATCACAATATTTTTATTTCATTTTAATATGCAAAAATATTTATATAAATGCATGGAAAAACAAAAAGCTGACAGGAAAAAGCGTAGTATCTGTTATTAATATTTCATTGGTTCTCTCTTAGTTTTGCATGTGTTCATAATTTCTTTGTGTGACCAAAATTATGTTGGACAATTTGGCAGGTTGCATTGCGTTATTATCAGAAATAAAACAAACAAATGGGGTGAAGATGTGAATTTTTCTAGGCATATGTTTTTATATACATGTTAAAAAATGATATGTTAAGTTAAGTCTGTAAAATGATACATCAGTGGAGGAAAATACTGTTCTGACATGAATCTGTCACTCAAAATGTGTCATCTCACCCTTCATTCTTAAAAATAAAGATTTTTGCAAAGAATCTTTTTTTCTTAGTAGCCTATGAACATTTTTATAATCTAGAACATTTCCCCCTATAAACAACCTTTTGTCCAATGGAAAGGTTTCAAAGATGTTAAAAGTTCTTCATGAAGCCGTCGATGCCAATGAAGAACATTATTGGTGGCACTTTATTTTAAGGTGATGTAGTTACATGTATAGTAATAACAGTAAAGTATGCATAATTACAAGTAACTAACCCTAAACCATAACCATAGTAAGTAGCCTATATGTAGTTAATTAATATTACTCAGTACTTATTTGAATAAGTACAATAACTACGTAGTAACCCCTTTATTTTTAAGAGTGTTCTTTTCATATTTTCTGCTTGTGTGAAACACAAAATGAGAATAGCTGTTTCCATCCAAAGTTGCGAATATAAATTATGCGTAAAATTGAAATATCGCATAACACATTTGTGAATAAAGCAGCGTTTCCATCACGTGTTCAAGAGAACAAAATCATCTCCTCCTGGAAAACTGGCGCAAAATATCAGTAATAAAAGTGTAAGTTTCTGCAATCTTTCTCTTTTCCCTCCATCATAAACGAGTGTCTCGAGCGTCAGACGAAACACAGTAAACGCTGTCATGTTCTCTGGCGATTATAAAATCTCGCAAGGGCTGCAATTTTTTTTTCGTTTTTTAATAAATATAATGCACAGTGATGACGCTGCCAAATCTTGCGCGTCGTGTTGACACTGTTCTCCATTTTTTTCACGCAATGAAAAATCCTGAGGCAAAGAGGACACTGACATCGATAGACAAGATAAGGCAGGTTACTTATTATATGAAACAAAGTCTCAGCTTTCAAATTATATCAATTTTATTACGAAATTCAAACAATAAATACGGGTTTAGCGCTCTTTAATATGACGTGCCAGATCAGCACCTCGGTTCAAGCAGCACGTGCTGTGAACTTATCTAAAGCTCTTCTTTTAGTTATTAAATCAATTCGAAAGACCTATTATGGAAGATACTAGCCTACAACTTGCTAAAATGTGTCATTTCTCATGTAATCACTCAATCAGTGCTTCAACCAAAGTGCTGAAATAGGTCAATAAAACAACTGGAGAACAATAGCCTGTCACGTAACGTAACATTTACCTCAGAAAAGCCATTTAATGACCACAGCCTAGCTAGAAAAATTAACTAGGCATATAGAGAGGATCATTTTTGCTAAATGCACTATTACATATTATAATTTTACTCATATCATTAAAAGATTATAAAATATTATAAAAACCGCATTATATTTGATTTGTTAATTTTAACCTTTAATAATAATACCAACTGCATGTATTTACAGCATTAGTGAGAGATTTTTCTTTGAGAAAAATTAACTGTCACGGGAAGGAACGAGAGTGGAGACAAGAGCAGGTAAGTGATGTTTATTTACAGTGAATAAAGTAGCCAGAAAGTCACAGTCTCAGACACACAGGGACGGGCAAGCGATGCAGGGACCTTGATGGAAGCCGGTGACGTGATGTGATGAGGGTGAAGTGTTGATTTCCAGTCCAGAGAGTGCTGTAGAATTATGACGAGGAACACGAAGATATCCGGGACATGAACGCAGGTACAAGAAACAGCCAGACAGGAACAGGAACGAACACCAGGAACACATCACAACGATCTGACAAGGACGAGACGAAAACAGTGAGTATAAATAGGCATCGCTGATCAGGTTCAGCTGGTGCTGGAATGGAATGCAGCTGGAGCCACTGATCAGCGGTACGGACGGGAGACCACGCCCACACTCACACACACAACAACAATGACACGAGACAAGAAGGATACAATGAATTCAAACACCGTGACATTAACATGTAGCTTTATAAGTTAGCCTACCTAAAATTTATCCAAATTAATTGATGTAAACATTGTTACATGTTGTTACTAAACTTTGTTTGGTCAGCAAATGTTTTGAGAATCACAATACAATTATTGTGATGCTTTAAAAAAAAACTTTTAACAATCTTTTCTAATGATTTATATTCATAGGCTGCCTGTTGAACATGGGGTTGTGCTCTTATATTTCTGAACTCTAAAAGTTCAGATTAATGCATTTAACTTTAAAATGTAGAAAACTGTTCTTGCCCCTAGAAGAACTGAGGTCCACCCCTCATTAGGGCTGTCTCTTTTGAGAAAAATCAAATTCAATCAAATATCAAGCAATTTATTCGAATATCTACTTTTTTATTTGAAGGTGCATCTTTTACAGTCGTTCAAACAACTGTAGAGTGAAGGGTGTACGTTTTTACTTTTTACAGTTCAAATTTAATAACTAAAACATACTCTATTGCTCTCTTTAGGCCATTTTTGTTGGATCATTTATAATTAGGCAATAAACATTATGCAAATGAGGCACAAAAAAAATTAGGCAATGTTTAAAAATGTAGTCTCACTTAAACTTAGGGAAAATGGGCAGTTATAATGTAATAATAAAGTTATTTTTCCAATACTTTTCACACATAAAAATACGCTCAAAGAGTGACAATAGTTCTATAAGAGGATTTGGGGCCTTCATATTCACATAGGGCCAGGGACGGACTGGGGCTAAAAAACAGCCCTGGACTTTCTCCCAAATAGGCCCATCATCCAGCCATTCGCCCCTAGCCACTAGGATGTCCTGATACTATGCCACAATACTGTAACCTATATCAGACAAGGTATTCACAGCAAGTAATATCTCAAAAACAATGATGACAATTGGGGTTTTGTTGAAGCCTCAGTCTTCAAATAAAAACAAAACAATGTACAATGCCATTACATCTGCATTGGAAATAAAATACAAATAATGAAATGTCACTGGCTACAGAAACCCTAATTACACAAACTTGTAATTATAAAACATTTAGTTACTATATACCAGGGGTCTCCAACCTTTTTGTGTGTGAGGGCTATTCAAGGGATAAAATAATCTAGAAGCTATACTCAAAAATATTTATTATACATATAACATGGTGGTGTTTTTTTACCTTACCTTTACCTTTACCTTTACTTTTAACTTTAACTTTTTTATTTTTCACCATCATATGCGAAATAATAAAATATCTTGATATTCTGGTTCAACAATTGGTGAAAAATTTGTAATATATATATATATATATATATATATATATATATATATATTATTCTCTAAAAACCTATTGTAGCATAAACATTTAGTATAAATATTTAATGCAAAATAAATAAACTGCCATAACTTCTAAACAAAAACATTACTGCATTACATTTAATAGCCTACATTTATAGGCCTACATGACTATTAATATAACAGCATTTTTAATATGAATACAGGCACATTTCTGCCAAAAAAAATGGTTTTACTAAGTTACAGTTAATTCATAAGTTGTGGAGTGAAATGTCTTCTAACTGGTTTGTTCTTGGAAAAATGTTTCACCTGTTTTTTTGCGTCAAGATGTTGAGAATATCAGCGCTGTTTAATCTGGCTTTTAACTAGCTTAAATCACAGCCATCTGTGGGTTTATAATAGAGATAGAGAATTCTGCGCTGAATTGAAACGCTTCTCAGCGGATCGCGCAACTCTGTGTAATAATGTCCGCGTGATCGAGATCAGTCCGCACAGCTGCTTCGGCCGCGATCGCAGTTTTTTGGGCCGAGCTGATAATGCTCCGCGCTGGCATCCAACTTAAAGGTGCATTGCTGCCACCTACAGTACTGGAGTGTGAAACAGATTAGTGGGGGGAAAAAACAGATGATGACTGCGTGTGTGGCGGGTGGTGGGCCGGCCCGCCGGCCGTCCCGGAGTACCGGCCGTTCTGTGATACTCCAGATCACACAGATGGCCAGTCCGCCCCTGCATAGGGCCCAACAGTAAGTTCCAGGGAGCCCTCAAGAGTCCAAGAGCCTTGTTTAAGAGGCCTTGTGTAAGCTATGGGACACATATATTACAGCATTAATAAATATTT